GAAGAGTTGATATTATAGAGAATGATTATTAACTTTGTTATTAATTTTAACGTAATTGTTTTTTTTTTTTTAATAAACATATATGTACAAGTATAGAGAGAGAATATATAAATATGCTATCAGTTTCCCTTGGATATTGTGGCATTTCCTCTGCATCTCTTGAATATCAATGAAAGCGACCTTATTAATTCTCCTTATGTACTTTTAGAAGATTCCAATTCATCTTCGAGAAATTAAAGCACGTGTATTATTATTTTAGTGTTATTATTTTATCCAAAACTGAATGATATTGAATAATGATGTGGAAAAGAGGGCCTCAACGTCAATTTTGTTAAATTTTCGAAAATGAGAGAGAAATATATGTTCGATTCGAAGTGTAGAACGATCAAAAGTTCTAAGAAAAGGAAGATCGTACTTATTACATTACATTGCATAGGCTTGCTATCCTGATAATAGTAAGATATTGTTGGGTTATGCCACTTTAATTGATTCAACATTTTATTCTATTATTTGTATTTTAAAAAATTTGTTAAAAGAATTGATAGATTTTTCAAAATAATATCTAATATAATATTAAATCAAAATGAATTTGTGATTTCTCTCTTCCATCCCCCCCCCCCGCCCCCCGAAACTCCAAAAAATTTAATCAATCAATTTATTATTATTTAACATTTAACCAATCAGTCTATTATTAGAATCGCAATCCTATGCAAATGCATATGTAATTTCATTTTTAACATATATAATTCTTTTTCTTATAACTTTCGAACCAAGTGCATATCACTGAGAACAGAGCACAAAATTACGATTATTAGAATTGAAGTTTTCTTAAATAATTATCCAGATAAGTAAATCTTTTCAATATGCAAGGGATTATAATTTTAGCAATATTTAGCACTGGCCATTTTCTATCACAATTGTTTACTATCTCAGAAATTCTCTATCAATATATTTCGAAAAAGTATACATAGCATATATAATACAAACAACCATATGAACGTAAATTTATAAAGTCTTACGATATCTTTTCGTCTATTATTAAAAAAATATTTATCTTGATAACGAAATAAACTGGGATCATAATTAGATAAAATGTAAATTAATTTAACATAATTTGATTTAAATTTAAATTCAAAATAACTTTACAATAATTTTTCCATATGCAGCGAATGAATTAATTCATTCACAATTTACATTACACACGTAATGAAATGACAAAATTCTTTATCTCAATTCTTTATCTCAAAAATTTCTGACATATATTTCTAACGTCAGATGCAGACGTTCATCATTTTATTTTCATCATTTTTAAAGCTAACAAAGTTTAATAATTTTATTACTATAATTAATTTTATTAATAATTTTGTACAGAACAAATTATTATTAATAATATTTAAAATATGAGACTAGAACTATATTTGACAACTTGCTCATATTTCTTCCACGCTAAAAGACTGATTCAGTATCTAAATAATAGCAAACGTTAGTAATAATTAGTGTTAATTGTTTAATAAATGTCCTTATTTATTTATCAGGAATACCAACATTTTTACTTTTTACAATTAATTAATATTTTTGTAAAAATTTATGCAAATTGTGCAAATGAGTGCATTGTCTACATAGTGCATATGTTCACTAAATTCTGCCCTATTAAATATATATACATCTTGTTGATGGTATGAAACACGAGAAACATATTTCAAACAGCACAAACAATTTGGTGCACGTTTACAACCTCGTGACAACTGAAGATATATACGTCAGATTGTTCCGCCATCCGACACCAGTTAATTATAATGTAATAATCAATCTCCACAATTGTCACGTTCTAAGCTAATAACGATCATCTTCCAATCCGCATTGAACGTGGATCCTATTTAAGCATACGTCTTAACCTCTTGCAAATCAATGTTCATACGGTCAGTTTAGTCGACATGGAATTGAATTAGAGGCACAACGCCTGCGTCGAACGAATCCGGTTAGAATAATCCAATAAGATATTCAAATATCTTTTTCTTTCTACGATTTAACTTCGCTTTGCTGTCCCTTTCTCGTTTTCTTCAGCTTTCTTTAGCGTTGCGCATTATTTTCGCGAGTGTTCTTTCTTGGAAATTTGTCTTTGGAAACAATACTCGATCCTCATTCGTCCCTCATTTCTTCAACTTGATCCTTTGGTGTCGAATTAACATAGTGGTAAAAAAATTAATACCTACGCTGGAAGAGTAAATAGTTAAATTTATGAATTCTTTTGTGAACAGCGTAAAGACAGAGTAAATTTCTACTCAATTGTACATGAAATTCATGCAAACTTCTACTGTCACGTGCAGATGTTCAATTTTATATCACGATCTTATCGTTTCGATCATTTGTTACAACTGTATTCAAAAAGATGGCGCATTAAATGTATAATTATGGTATAAATACACAATAATTGACAGATAATATACTGTCTATCAAGAAACTTGACAAAGAATATTATTTTACAACTTTGGTAGCATATTTTATTATCAGAAATGTCAAAAATGTGTGCTATACATAACATATGATATTTTATAAAATTTACCCAAGGGATGAATGAGAGTTAATAGCCACACGAACGCAACAAAATCAAAAAAATATATTCTTTGACTAATTATCTAAACAAATTTAAAATTTGCTTACATCTAAAACTAGGTAGAACAAAAATAATAAGAGAATGTAAATATTTCTATTTTTCTGTAGTTACATACTTTATGTTTTTTTTTTTTCATGTATGAGGCATGTTGATAAATTTTACTTTATTTAACTCCGTTTTTGTTTAATTATATTTTTAATAGAGATAGTTAGGAGATTGAATCAGTAAGTAAATTTTCGCAATGTTATTGCAATTACAAATCATCAAATTAATAGATAAAAGATTTGAGTAAAAAAAAAAAACGCGAAATTCAATTAAAGATAAATAACCAAATATTTTATTTTATATTTCAAACCTGATTGCCATTTTCTGAAATAACGTACGGAGAACTTATAGTACATTTCCATACAAATTGCTACATTGTAAAACTCTCCTTAAACATTATGCGTCATAAACTGTACACCACGAAAGTTTCCCAACTTTTCTCAATATATCCTCTCTACCTCCTGTTCTATATTTTAAACTATCTTCCATCATGTATCAAAATTGTGCTGCAAACCGAAGAAAATTTCAGAGTGCGAATTTACGTGTTCCTTTCTCGTCATACTATACGGAAGCTTCGAACCGAAGCTAGTCCGCTAATAGGAAAACACGAGAACCGTCAAAAGAACGAGCGGAAAGGTCACGAACACGAATCACACTTAACCACTTGCGCTGGCAACTGATTGCGAACCGTAACGAGTGACCAAAAACCGTATAAAATAATTCGTCGCTTTCTTTTTGAACTCGCCGGTATAATGTCACTGGATAGAAATTATTGGAAAGTAATAAATTTATTATTTGTTTTACTTAAATATTTCCTTAAAACTGAGAAAATATTGCAATTTTGGGACAAAAAGTTCTGGACGTGCGTGGCACGTCATTCCAGCGCAAGAGATTAACTACTTACGCTGACAATTAATTGCGGACCGTAACGAGTGACCAAACCGTATACAATAATTCGCTTTCTTTTTGAACTCGTCGGTATAA